GTACAGAAACATGTGTAAACACCGACCTCATCCAGGTCCACATACGGACCAGCTCCCTCGGGAAACATTTCATCAACTGCTGGCTTCATAACTTCAGCGCGAGTACTTAACAGTCAGCGGTAAACAAATGTTAAAATTATGTATTTTTCAGCTCACTGTCACATTCACCAAAACAAACGCTTCCCTCTGTTTCCGGTGCTGTTTCGATTGTTCTTCTTCTTCTCCTTCTTTTGGAGTTTTATGGCGGTTGGCAAACAAACGATAGGTGCATTCCCGCCACCTACTGGGCTGGAGTGTGGACCATTGATGGAATAGGAAGAACTAAATAAATAAAAAATAATAAAAAATAAAAAATGAAACCCTTCTAAATCCTGATAAACATATCTACTTTTTTAAAAGAATGTCATTAAAGCATTATATGTTTTATAACGATTCAAGCCATTATTCAACAAAGTTTTAAGTGTAATATTTTCTATCCCTATTTTTTATTTATTCTTCCAACAGAAATGCTCTTTCATTATCTTAAGCAGAACAATGTAATAGTGCATGCTGTACTGTTTCTGGTAATCCACACAGACTACAGTTCCCAGACTCATGCTTATTCATTTTATATAGAGAAGAATTTAAAGCAGTATGGCCAATGCGAAGTCTGGTAATAATGATATCTTCTCTTCTACTACCAAAATTAACTCTTTCAACCCCAACTTGATTTTGAATATGATAAAGAGGTCTTCCTCTCTTCTCCTTACTCCAAACTTCTTGCCATCTCATTTTTTATTGCTGTTCTAATTTTAGCCTTAATTTCTTCTTTGCTTAGTGGTATAATAATTTCTATATGTGATAATTTCAGTGCCTGTTTTGCTAAATGATCCGCAACCTCATTTCCATCCACTCCCACGTGTGCTGGAACCCACAGGAAACATATCTTAATTCCTATCTTATTCACTCTATACATACATAAAAGAATTTCATACAAAATGTCTTGTCTTGAAGATCTTCCACTGATAAGACTTGATAATGACTGGATCCAGAACACCTGAGAAGAGATGATGCCAACCCCTCAGAGGACCTCAGATGATGCCAACCCTGAAACAACATACAGAACTACCACATTTTGCTATAAGTTTGATTGCATCATATAATAATTGCTGTGAAAAGCGCTGTACAAATAAACTTGAATTGAATTGAAAACTTGAATGCAGAGAATGAATCTGAACATATCACCGCATTGGCCGAGTATCCTCCATCCACCTGACAGCTAATAATATTGCTACCATCTCTGTAGTGTAAACTCCTACTTGATCAGAAACTCTTTTACCAGTCTTGATTTGATAAATTGGGAGTGGGACAAATACAGCTGCTGATGCTCATCCTGTCTCGTGATCTTTGGACCCATCAGTGAAAATTGAGACTGCGGAGTTGTAATTCTGTTCTAGATACAGTTTAACCATGACATCTTTTGCTATTACTCTATTTTTGTCATTAATAATTTCTTGCACATTAAAGTCTACTAATGGTAAAGGGAATAACCAATGTGAAATGGCTGACACTCCTATACTGCAGGGCTCATTTCTACATTTATTATTCCACATGACCGGGTTTCTTCTTCTGCTATCCTTCCAAAACTTCTAAACTTGTCTGACTCATGATCCCAACATTTTCCCAATACTTTTTTAATTGGATTAGTTTCATCATGTCCCTTTACAGAAATCCAATAAGTGAATGAATTGTTCTTTTGAGTCGAATCTTTTTAAATGAACCTGTTTTCCCCATAGACTGTATAAAAACAGGTTTTCCCACCCGATTTGAATGATGCGCATTCTGAATTTATTTAGGCCAAATAGCAGAAATATAAATGAAACGTACTCCCAACACGTGTTCATCCGAAACGTACATGAATGCAAAATGTATTTCTGAAGGGCTTAATATATTTTAATAAATGTAAAAATGTATTATTAATACATTTAAAATGAGCTGAATCACGGCTGCAACTACACATGAAAACAACTCTAATTAATTACCTCAACAGAATAATAATAATTTAATAATAGCAATAATAAAATGGTATTAAACATGGGTTTATTTGGATGTTTAAAGCATGAATACCACGCCGGTCTCCAGGACCACGTGATGTCGTAAGCCGCTATGAACCGGTTCTGTACTATGAACTGTTCGAAGGAATCGATTCGCGGAATCGTATTAGGCTTCACAACCGTTCACAACCATAAACATCATAAATACCTAGACGCCTCATTGGCCGCTTTGAGCCGTTGCTGCAGTCCACAGATTTACGATAAGCTGTGAAATCCTTATAATCAAGTGATGATAAACTTGCTCTTTGTAAATAAGTAACGTTAGTGAAATTAAAGAGAGATGCTTTAGCTCCATCCCTAATCCTGACAGTCTGGCATTGTCTTGTCAAAGTGCTCACTGTACATATTGTGCTCATAACACCATTTACTTTATGCTATGATCTACAATATAAAAGTTAAAACTTAATAATTAATTTAAACTTTCGAGCGGCCAATGAGGCGTCTAGGTATTTATTATGTCTATGTTCACAACCACTAGTGGTGTTACGTCGAAATGTAACCGGATGGAAACCGGGTCCCACTGGCTCGGTTGGAGAACTGGTCCTCCGGTTTACTGCAGTGATGGCATTTAAATAATTTCTGTGCATCAGTATGACACTTTATTGTTTTATTTATTATATTTCCTATGCAACTGCAATAGTCGTATAATACATCACAATCATGCACTCTGAAGCTGTTAATCACACTACAATGAAACATTAACTGTAATTCCTATATGCTTTTTTATTAGTAGTGATACATTTAAGGATACGGCACAACACTCTTTATTATAGGGCTATAAATGGTGTTTAGTTATATTTAGCAAACTATCATTAGTTTCTAATAACACAAACTAAACTATCAGTGATGAACTAATAACATCCACTTAGTGTTGAAGTTGCTCTGCCACTTCATAACCCAGCGTGTCTCCTAGATGCTGATGGGCGAAGAACGTTCTAGCCATTTCATTGATCTGGTCGTATGCCCCAATGTTGCGGAAGTATTCCACATAGTTCCAGAAATCTGAGGTGGAATAAGACCAGTAGGGCACAGCAGGGGGCTGTTCATAGGGCACTACATTTGAGAGAGAAAAATAGAGCTTGTGTATTCCTGCTGAGTTTCTGCATTCCAGAATTCCTGATGTGTACCTGGAGAAGTTATGTCTAAATGTGTCTCTTTGTTTCCTCAGGCAAACATAACAATACAGTTAACATAGTGAATATACGTATAAAACCAGCACCAAGAGTTCAATTATTTGTTCAAATAAAAGTCTAATTTTGCATTTAGGATTTTGAAATACTACTATTAATATATACTGGCTAAAGGTGTGTAAACAAAATGGTAAATAGTCTGTTTACCCCCTTCAGGAATGAATCTGGCACCTGTGGAAGGAGAGAGTAGAGGAAAAGTGAATGAAATCTGAAATCCTCCCTCACAAAGAGCTGATTCATTCATGAGAACTGAGGATCTCCCAAGGGGTTCAAGAAATGTGTGAGTTTCCTCCACAAATATTATTCCTAACTATGTGCACACTTGTCCTGATGAACACGGCTCAAGTCTTTAATGTTTATGATATTAACATGTGGTATTTCACTGTTTTTCTTTCATAAAATGTTCCAGTTTGTTTATCTGACAAACATTAACCTCCTTCGTCCTATGATACAGAAATATTTACCATAAAATACAGTGATTTTCATATTCTGAAAATCTTGAAATATCCAAAGTGCCGTAGTAGTAATATGTAGTAATAGTAGTAATATGAGTAATATACACTGCTTACCGCTGAGATTATTAGCAAGAAAACATAGCAAGAAAACCCCCAAAACAATACTCCACTTCATCATTTCCTGGAAATAAAAAAAAGATACTTTTACAAATTCAAATTTAAGGTAAATGTAAGCAAGCTTGAAAAAGCAAGTAAACTGTTTGCTATATTGCATGCATCCCACATAACGTACTTTTCATAATTAGGTCACATAACAAGTTATGTATATTATTAATTGTTTTGGAAATTAACATTACCTCCTTTGCAGCAGTGATTATACAAGTGATCCGTTCGTTTCTGAGATCTAAAAAGACGTCGTGTGTCACAGGTTCTGCACAGACTGAACCCCAGGTTCAGGAATATTTTGTCCCCTCCCAAACTAGATCTACATCATTGAAACCCACCTCAGGGCTGTATATGATATTTCAAATCAAGTTGGTTTATGCATAATTCCATACAACCATGAAAACAAAAAAGAAAAAAAAAAACATTACTTACATTTCAAGAACATAATTCCATTTTTCCGAATAATTCCAAATCTGAACACATTTTTATTGACATAAAACATTCAGAAAGGCATAGAAAACACAAACTTGAAGACCAATGCATATCTCAAATTGTGCAGAACAGATAGGACTCCAGTATATTTATAAAATAAACACCTGTTTAATAAAATAATGTCTCAGGAATGACATGACACAGAACTCCATAAGCAAAATCTTCATAAGCAAAGGATAATGCATTTTATTTATTCTTTTTTAAGAGGTACAACATACTTATACACATTAGGCTATATTATGTGCTGGCTGGGTTCAGACAGTTTTATGCAAGAGTAATTTTATAATGATAACTTAAACCATTTTCACCCATAATATAGGCATTTAAAAAATATATATTTCAGTCCTCAATGTTTAAAGAGCACTATCGCATCCTTGCTGATCTGTGGGAAACATTTTGCTCACGTCGATGTTGTTACGTGAGAAGTTATAATTCCAAATCTGAACACATTTTTATTGACATAAAACATTCAGAAAGGCATAGAAAACACAAACTTGAAGACCAATGCATATCTCAAATCGTGCAGAACAGATAGGACTCCAGTATATTTATAAAATAAACACCTGTTTAATCAAATAATGTCTCAGGAATGACATGACACAGAACTCCATAAGCAAAATCTTCATAAGCAAAGGATAATGCATTTTATTTATTCTTTTTTAAGAGGTACAACATACTTATACACATTAGGCTATATTATGTGCTGGCTGGGTTCAGACAGTTTTATGCAAGAGTAATTTTATAATGATAACTTAAACCATTTTCACCCATAATATAGGCATTTAAAAAATATATATTTCAGTCCTCAATGTTTAAAGAGCACTATCGCATCCTTGCTGATCTGTGGGAAACATTTTGCTCACGTCGATGTTGTTACGTGAGAAGTTCTCTTTGGCATGGTAGATGGCCTCTGCGGGCAGAATGCGTGAGCGTGACAGGATCCAGGCATAGTCCACATGGAAGAGCCGGAGAACATCAGTGCATGAATAAACAAGCGCAGTGCTGTTGTAGTCAGTAGACAGGACCCAGTATGGGGCGTAGGGAGAGACTGCATATATAAAAAAAGCAGCAGACAGTGAATTAACAAAATAAAAAAGACAAAAAAGATTTGAATGTTCTAGAAATGTGTTGTTTGAACATAAACAGAGGTTGAGCGCATTCATGAACTTACAGTAGGAGAAACTGACTCCAAGCTTGGCTGGCTCCCTCGGGTCCTGAGTGATTGCTGTGCCCTCTGCTTTACTACTTTTTCCTTTGCTGTTTTATATAAACACACAGTTTAGTTATGGATAAATGATGGCGACAAAACACAAGTTCTATTTTAGTCAAAAGATTTGATTACTCACTATGTCTGAACATTGGCAACTTGGACAGTGTTGTCAGGTCTTAGCGCGTAGTTTGCCTCAATGCACTTGCCTTTCTCAAAGGATGCTGGGAGCTTTTCGATCTCATACCACTTTCCAAGGTACTTGGAGTGAACGGTAAAGCTCATATAAGTTCACTGTACACTATTAAAGGCATACTTAGAATCCTGTCATTATTTTTTCACCCCCATTCCATTCCAAACCAAACAAAATAACAGCATTTGGATTTAGAAAGACATGAGGGCCAGTAAATAATGACAATTTTGGGGGCTGATCATCTTTGAAATTCTATATATTTACATAGTCCTACCTTGTTTAATTCAAAGTTTGGCTGGACCATTGGTGTTGGGCAGGGGCCCCAATGAATGTCTGAGCAGAGGCCAAGGGAAGCAGTAGAGGTACAAGCAAAACAATCACGGCCTTCATCCTGTCAAGAGCTGCTGTCTCAGTCAGCAGTGAGAGAAAGTCGAGTCATGAGCTCAAGATGCATTATGTCACAAAGTTACATATTTGTAAATTGCATTGTCTAATTAGAATTAGAGACTGTTCACACGGTACAAATCTGGCTTTGCATTTCATTGTGTGGAAACAGCAAACTTTAAAAAGTAAAAAAGTATTATTTTCCATTCCACTGTGCTACATCTGTTAAATATATTTTTTTCCTAGGGGTCTTATTTTATTTTATTTTTTTAAAGCATGTCAAGTTCTTTTAAAAATTGTCTGGAAACTTTTTTAAAGCACTTTTTTTCAATGAACCGTGCTATGTTATCATGTCTCTCTCTGTGTGAATGGACCCGGCATTCACTTAAAGTGTAATGTAGAATGGTGGGTTTTTGAAATGTCTTTTGTTTTGAATGTCAGGATTTTTTGTTGATCAGAAGCTGACAGACCTGTTGGACCTGTTTGCATATGATCACCACAAATCACTGGCGTACACGCACACGTTAGATATGTTATGAAACTGTGATGTTATGAAATTTTTTAAATATTACTTATTGATGAAATTATCTTTTTTGATAAATGTAATGTTTTTTTAATGCTAAAACATGATACATTTACATGAACAATATAAGAACAATTATAGTCTATATGAACTTATTTACTGTAATACATTTGTTAAATAATTAAACGGCATATAATCTAGTTTGCTGGAAAAAAATAATTACTGTTGTAGTAGAAGTTATCGAAGCTGAGAAGTATAAGCATTTTTTTTTCAGTCTTTAAGGCATTTTTTAGACCAAAATTTTACATCTAACATTACAGTTACACAATACAAGTATACACAGAAAATGATAATTTATAGAATTATGATTAAATATAATAGCACAAAACAGACTTAATAACAATGCAAAGTAAATCGATACCTGTTCCAGATTAACTTGTTGTTAAGCGCAGAGCTGAATGTGTTGCATGTGTTCTGGTCCAGTACCTGTGTGCTGACAACAGAGGAGGAGATTGTGTTGTAACAAGAAGCAGCCGATTATGTAAATAGATATCATGGGAGCAGTACTGCAGTGACAAGGTGTGTGCTGCTAAGTAGATTGTGAGTCTATTGTCCTCCATTTGCCCAGACCTTTTGTATTAAACAGTTACAAATTGGTCTAGTCAAATGGCTCAGGTGGCTACAATGAGTTATTTAATAAGATTATTTTCAGCAGATTTTATTCATAAAACTGGCAATCTGACTTTCCCATCCCATGGGCTGTGGGCAGACACTAAATTATGCCATTCTTGAGACCAGCAAACAACTGACAGTGACATAACCATTTAAAGTGATTTAGGTAACCATGGTAGTCAGTTGTTTATCATTAAACAAATATAATTTACTAATATTGTTATGTAAGTTTGATTCTTAAGTAAAATTAAGTACATACCTTAGTAGTTAACCACCCATTTTGGTTAACTGCCACATTGTTGATGTTAATAGGCCTACCACTCCTGGTTAATCCTTAATGTTCCTTGTAGTTTCAGGCCAGGATTCAAGCTAAATTTACTAAAGATCTTTTCACACAACCCTTAACCCTGGGTTAATGTCTTTTTTAACATGGGACTGAGGGTGAAAAGTCCAATAGAAGATGTTTAGAATTGTTTGGTGACTATAATCTGTAGAAAAGACCCAGCAGGAATAAAGATTATTCCTCATCGACCATCCAATAATTTAATAAATAACTTAATATCTGAAATTAAATATTGTGATTGATGAGAACTCTTCACATGGATAAAGGAATTGTGGATGGATGTCATTGTCTGTTAAATCTGGGATCAATAAATGGATCAAAAAGGGGAAAAGGTTCACATGAAAATGTTAATTTTTTAAAAAGTATGACATTTGCCTTTCAATTGTAATTGAATAAAAGTACCTACAAGTCGTTTCAAAAGTACACATTCCCAAAATAACAGTTACGTTTAGCAATGAAGTAAGCTACAGTTACTCCTGTACTGTACACTCTGGTCCTTGAATGCACCAGTTTCTGGACATTTGTGTGCATTCATGTACATAGTGTGTGTGTTTGGCTCCACCTAATGGTCACAGCTGTCATTTTGGTTCAAACACCGGAAAGAATTCAGACTGGAGGATATGACGTCACCGACCAAATCCCCTTGAAGACCTCGAAAATGGCCGTCAAAGCAAAGAGATTTTAATCTACTGTCGAAATAACGTGAGACCTGCATTTTTATTAAAAATTCGAATCTAACTTTATATTTATTAATCACATAATTTAAATAATTATTGCACGATTCTGTGTCGTGTTTGTAATATGTAGAGCGAACATGTGAATTGCGGCTCGCGCTCTACCGGATCGAGCATTTTCGAAATAAGAGCCCTTTGTTTTGCATGTCAAAATTATAAACACTACTATCTGCATCCATTCAGAAAACAGTGCATTTAGCTATTTTTTGGGCATATTTACGACTAGAATTATTGGGTGCATTATAATATTTTGAGTGGCCTTTAACGGTGATAGTTTGTTAGCAAGCTCGTTATTGCAGCCAACTTTTGAGTAATGGGCGGGAACTTTTATTTTCCTTAACTGATGTTGTCCAGTCTGAACTGTCGCTAATGTTATAGTGAGTTATTGGTTAATTTATATGTGCACAGGTTCTTTATTCTTACATGCATGTCTGTTTCATTTAAACAGGTTTTGGGGTGTGGTTTAAACCATTAACGTACAAATTTACGTGCGGTAAGTGAATTATTGTTTATTACTTACAAAACGATTGCATGTAAAATAGGGTCATTATAGGTCTAATTCACTCAAAATGGCAATTATAATCATTAATTCATGTTGCTCACCATTATGTTCCAAACCTTTATTATTAGAACTTACCACTTTGATTATATGGAAAGAGGATGCCATACAAATAAATAATGACAGAATTTCTGAAGAATCTCTCTTAAGATGTTCAATAGTGGCTGGTGTTATAAGATGTTCTTGACATTCCAGGTTGCTCCTCTTCCACGTCATGCCACATATCACTCACAGTGAGTTTCTTCTGGAGCAGCTGAAGAGGCAACGTGAGAGAAGCTTTCTGTGTGACTGCACAGTAGTAATAGGACAGTCTCAATATAATGCACACCATAATGTTCTGGCAGCCTTTAGTGAGTATTTCTCTACGCAGTCTATTGATGCCGGAAAGGAGAATGCCACCATAACTTTGGACCCAGAGTTGGTGAGCGGGGCTTTGTTTGAAAAACTACTAACTTACATTTACACCGGTGACTTGAGTATGGACAGGTGAGTTCATGGGAATATAATTCTATACATTTATTGTTATCTGTATGTAGTGTTATCTATGTTTATATGTACTGTTCCTATAAAGCCTGAAAATATGTGAAGCCTGAAAGTATTTTTAAAAGATATATTTTAAGTATTTAAATCATTTTCAGCCCTGAAAATGTAATGTAAATTATTTAAAAAAATTTATCATTTTAAAAGTTTTGGATTTTTTTCCTTAATGATATTTATTCATTTTAATTTTAAATTCATTTTTAAACGTATTAAATATAAGTATATATAGTTGGGTCAAAGACATTAAGATGTCCGCATCAAAAAATTTGTAGAAAACTGACTTTATGTCCATAGAAAGCACATTAAATGTAAGTTAAGTGTCTACTTTTAAGGTTTTGGAGAATAAATAGTCAAAATTTGGTTGAAATAATGTTACATTGTCATTCAGTGTAACACAATATTTATGTAAAAATTCAAACAACATGCTTATTCTGATGTGTACATATTAAAATATATAAAAGAATAAGGGAGCATATTAAATTTGATTGTGTTTTAAATGAGTAAAAAATTCTTACTGACAAATGGGCAAAACCTAGGATAGTGGCAAATTTAAAAAATGTAAAATTACAACTAATTAGCATTTGGGGTGAAAGTAATTAGTCTTTTAATATGTCATAAATTGATTTTTGTTGTAAATATGCCTGACTCGATTGTTACACTGAATGACATTTTAGTGGGTCTCTTCTGTAAATCAGGGAAAAATGTATGATATTTATGTTTTTGCTCAGAAAAACAAAAACTTTTTGGGAAAAACAACAACTATTTAAAGCAGTATTACACTTATAGTTTTTATGCTTAAACCCGTTTTCGTCTTTGACCCAGTTACATATTTTATATATATATATATATATATATATATTGTAGATAAATAGATAATTATTTAGCTGATTAAATATTTCGTTGCGGAGTAAAACTAAAAGTTCATATTCACTACTGAATAAAATGTCCATGATTTTTAAAATGTGTTAACTTGACTGTATAGCACATGTAAATGTATACTGGAAATTGATGCAATGGAGAGATCCAGGCCTTTCAGTAAAATTGTAATTTATTTCAAATAAATCATAGATGATACAAATTACAGATTATAATAATAATGAAAAATTAAAAATTAAAGAAAATTATTAAGAATGAATACAAAAATTCAAACTGAGTATATTCTGCTAAAATTCTAAGAGTAATCTAAAATCAAAGTATAATAATCTTCAGAAGTCAAAAGACAAAGGCTTTTGGAGCATGTAATGTGAGCAGAGGAAAAGGAGAAGCTGTCTGAAAAGCCAATTGGAATAATATAAATAGTAGAGACTTACATCCTCTTAGAACATCTCAAGATGTTTGTCTGATCGATAGACGTCAAAGGAATTTACCCATTGTGTCTCATACATCTGGGCACATGTTTTTCTCCACCTAAATTACTTGACGTCAAAGCGTGGTCACGTTGACATGACCTGTGAAAGACAGTAGGTAGAAGTCAGATTAAAATAGAGACATGGGTTGTGGTTTTACATCCTTCTAGCAGAAACAGCAGAGCTTTGCAATCTTCAAATACCAGCACTTGGAAAAGAACACTTAGTACCATGAAAAAAAGAATACAAAATTTAACCAAACATCCTTGCATATACTTTTTTTTTTTTTTTTTTTGCAGAGAATAAGTTTCCATCATAACAAGATGTCAAGATATGTCAAGTCTAAAAGAAAATACTACATCAATGGAATATGGAGTTTAAATGGAATTGACCATAATAAAAGGGAATAATTTAATTATACTTGAGTATATAGTTAATATGAGACCGTAATATGAATATAATGTGGAGTAATAATAAAAGAATCATAATAAATATAACATATAAATTAATATGAAAAATATAACAACATTGGAAATGTGCATACTCCAGAAATCATGGAAGTCATTGAAAAATTAGTTTTATAAAGTTATGGATATTTTTTCCAGTAGTGAATATGAATTTTTAGTTTTACTCTACCACAATCTATTTAATCTTTACTGTGCTATGCACTATTTAACCTGCTAAATATTATTTTGGCTAAAACGTTACCTTTATTGATTAAAACTAATATATATTTATATAGTGCATACAGTTCATATAGTTATAACTGTAAATGATAAATTCCTGTGCTTTGTTGTCCACAGAGAAGACATTGAAAGCGTTCAGAAAGCTGCATCTTATCTTGGGATGCCCGAGGTTGTGGCTCGTTGTACACTAACTCAAGATGATATCAAATTTGGTGGCTCGCCCACAAGACAAGCGGAGTACGAAGATCCACGTTCCCCCTTGAGCCCAGACGACTACGAACCTTTAGAGCCAATCGCAGAGGTGGAAGAACGGGAGCGGTTGATGGAAAAGAAAGAAGATGGGTTACAGGATGATCCCACCTCTATGGATGAAGCCCAGTCGTCCAGCGAACAGACACCGCAGAGAAGCGGCAACAAGAGAGGGAGGAAACCAAAAACTAGGCTCTATGAGGATGATGTTGAGAGTGAGACCATAACTGCTCACAGAGGCAGAGGAAGAGGTCGGGGGAGACCGAGAGGTCGCCCACGGGTGAGGCCGTTGACTTCTGATTCAACTGAACAATCTCCAGCGCAGCAAACCATGAGCCCAAATAGCAGCTCAGTAGGGAGAGGAACCGGAAGACCAAGAGGTCGTCCACGGGTTAGACCGCTGTCCACTGACAGAGATGATTCTGGAAACACTGAAGATGAGACTGTAGCAACCAAGGATCAAGAAGAGGAGAGCTCTGCTCACAAAAAGGGACGTCCACGAAATAGACCCCTATCATCTGGTGCAGAAGGAGACAATGGAGATGAAGAACAAGGAGAGACCCAAGAAACAGAAGTTGTTGAAGAAGATTCTGTGAATGCTGGTGAGGAAGATGACGGAGTTCCTTTAAAACGAGGGAGAGGAAGACCACGGACTAAGCCGTTAACCACTGAGAACCAAACTACAAACATGGAAGACGGCTCAGAACCTGCAAAGACTGGCCGTAAAAGAGGAAGACCTCGATCCAAACCTCTTTCTTCTGAGGCACCTGAATCTTCAAATCCAACAGAGAACAGTGGAGAAGAAGCTACCGGAGAAACAAACCAAGACACTGAGAAACACACTGAAGAAGGCTCA